CTTCGGAAGGCAATTGGGAATTGAATGTTGCTGATTCTTGGATCGACGCCGTCCTTGGTGACCATGAGTCAGTCAACCAACTGATTCGATTTTCATCGGCGGACGCAGAAGATGTGATAACTGTATGTTTCAGACTCGGGTTATTATGGCCTTATTTTGCGCTCACGACTTTGCTCACCCAAAGCAGAATCAACGAACCTCTGACCTTCTGAAAATCTTCGAGCTCCTTAATCGTCGTTTTCGAGGTTCTCAGAGCCCCTGGGAGCTGGAAATGCACCGCACTGAAGTTAATCAGCCGGTAGCGATGGTGTAGTGGCGGGTACTCCGAGGAAACCTACTGTGGGGTTCCAAAAGCACAGTATACGCTACGCGAAGCGAAGAATCGCTTAAACTGTGCTCCACGCCCTCGCCCTGGTGCTCCGCGGAAGCTCGGAGGAGGACCGAGATCATATATACGACACTATTCAAAGGGAGCCCTCTATCAAGCGAGAATATCTCCTCCCTGAGGTTGATTGTAAGATAAAAAAACTTCGATCTGGCGCCTCACACACGAGATGGGCCTTCGGAAGTGGCGAAGGCTTGAACGGCCTGCCTTAAGTCTGATTCACGCTGCAAAACGACTTGCCGGGCTTCACAGTATCAACTGTTTGTGATATGAGGCTGGTGCAGATCAGGAACCAAGCCGAACCATCGGAATTAATCCCGAGATATCTATACGAAGAACCAAGTTGATTGGAATTCAACTTGCTCTTCTCGTTGTATATATATAGCCTAATGTTTCCCTCTGAACAATAAGATAATTCATACCTCTGAACTACAACATCGGTAATGACATCGAGGAGGAGCATTCGATCTAGCACAGATTATCAGCAGCTGGCGTAAGGTGGTCGTTCGCCACTCACCGTGCTCATGCCCCAGATGAGATCCCCTGCTACCAGTTGCGAACAGCACCCCGGCCGGACTCGTGGGAAAGGCCGAACCAGGGTTGTGTTTCACTGCCATCCGAGGTCAGCATGGTGTCCGGTGGCTGAGGAGTGGTAGAGCCTTGCTGTCGGTGTAGTCTGGCATTGGAATAGGCAAACCAGAGACGAAGTAGCAGGCGTCAACTCGATCCCATGTGCACGAGGGCCCGGGATCACTTTGTACCACGGGGAATGGATGTTGGCTGAATCTGCCAATGCACGGCTCTGGGCAAATCTTCAACCGTGTCAGGGCAAAGTACCACTGGACAAGAGATTCATGGTATTTTGCTTACGACAAACTTCGACCTGACCTAAAAATGACTGGCCTCGCGGCGAGGGATCTATGGTAGTTCTAAGCCATGGCCTGTCTTATCGCTTGCTCAACTGAAGTCAGGGGTTGAAATATCTGGCTTTTAGACTATTGCCAATAGCTCGTTCCAATTTGCTGATTGATGCTCCTCGGGGAATTAGTTGTTTTTTCTGTGGCCGTCGATTCTCGGCTTCTCTTCGTTGTCGCGGATGCTCGGATGGCTCGCTCGGTCAACAGTGAGGCCGGCTCATGGCTACTGACAAGCCTTCGGATCGGACGTGGGCAGGAGGTTCATAGCCGTCAGAATATTGCGAGTTACTAATACATTGACTGTCAACCTTTGTCCGGACAGGGTGTTGCCGAAGAGACGAAGTGAAAACACTTTGGAATTTTACCATATGGCTAATCAGAGGGCATCAGGCCTTCCTGAATTGGGCTTGCTTAATGCGCCAGGCGAAGTGGCCGTGTCAACCACGTCTTCAGAAACAACAAAGACGCAAGCGTAGTGAGATTCAATGGCTTGGCCCATCAGGTTGTTGCAGCTGGTTTAGTTTCGAGGACGAGGGGGGAACATAGCTCGGTCAGGTCGAGTGTAAAATTGAAGCTCGCCCTATGGCGAGAAAGAATCATCAGCGATATTTTCTAAAGAACGGAGAGCTACGGACGGAAAGTGTTCGTTTTGAGATTGAAAATTCAGTACCGGGCGTTGGGAATGGGCAGGGGCAAAGCACTAGCGTGACTTACAAGACATTGAGCGACTCGCGATAGAACGCTCGCCATCCTATATAGAGGGTCGTCAGCATATGATGTCTGCCTTGAAAATTGCTGCAGTCTTTGAACTTACATTGTCGGTTCTTGCTGTCCACTGCAGGGGACTGTATAAAGGATGGCACCTCATTATCTTCAATCATTAGCAGGTAGCTTATGAAGGCAACTTGTAACTCACCGTGCTCGCAGCTTGGACCATTCCAGATCCTGATCCTGAAAGGTTCGTTCAATGGCTTCTCAGAAGAATAGCGGAGGCGGGGCTGATATCGAGCATTTTCCATGTTAGCATGATTCCAAATGACTAGGCAGCTACACTTGCTGTTCGAAGACCTCTTGCGTCGAGAGAAGCCAGGCTAGTGCGATGCAACAAGTCAGTCAATTTCGTTGCACGATTCCGAAGTCAACATACCAAATAGTAATCACGGAAACGAAAGGTATTCGATATTCTTTCACCCAGAATCACAAAGGAATGCTTGCGAACGACGGTTCTGCTGGTGACGGGCCGGGTATTTATAGCAATTCAGCCAGGCATTCAGCCTTGCGTCAATGAGATCACCATTATGAATTGTGAGGGCTCAAACAAAAACTACTCTTCAATGATAACTGGCTCAACATTTCATCATTGATTCAAAGCAGCTCTCAGAGACATTGCATTTTGTTCCTGGTGATCAAGAACATGAAAATCTTTTTCTGGCTGTTGGCATGGTTTCAACAGTCATGAGTATGCCGCAGAAAAGAACCAACGACGGTTATCACCATTCACCACCGTGAGTCCGCCCTTTAATGCGACGGGTGAGGCGACGAGGTCATGCCAATTCACTTCACTCGCCAGTGATGAGCCCGTTACTCCACGCAACAAACACCTCATCAAAGACAGGCAAACACCATGCCATATTGCGACCCTAGATCCCTACCAGCCAAATCGCAGGATTCTTCATTGCCTAAATCGTATATCGGAGAAATCCATTACGCCTACACAATATCAAGCAGATACAAGCTATGGTACAGCGTGGGACTGATTCGCACAGCCCACATCTCGCGCGCGAAAGAGCTCCTTGTATAGTTAGTGAGTCACTAGATCGATTATGTTTTCGCAGAACAATTTTTTCTGCTATCGACCTCGTCTTTGCGTATAGCAATACTTACATCGATCTCCTGGGAACTAAGTGGACACGGGAAGATAGTTATTACTACAAGGAAACATCAGCCAATTAGTGTCACCAAAGGCCCACATGCGCATAAGTCTTCAATGAAATGATTGGCCGATAATTGGCCTTGGCTCTCAGGAGCCTGTGGGTCCTAAATATTGATGCAATCATTGGATACCACTAATAGAGTGATGTTTACGGAGAAATAATGAGCCAATCGGTGCCACGAATGATCCGCATGTGCCCCAAAGCCTCAGTAGAAAGGTTGGTCCAAATTTGGCTATGAGCTCCTGGGAGCCTGAACCTACCATTACACCTACCATAATTGGATAGCCCGTCAGCAATACCCACATTGAATTCCCGGGAACTAAGTGGGGATGTGAAATCGGGTACTGCTGTAGAGAGATATAGGCCAACCAGAGACATGAATGCTTATAGACGCACAAGGCCTGATTAAAATAATGGCTAATATCTCACCCTGACTCCCGGGAGCCTGTGGTTGTCGATATACATGCTATCGTTGGATGCTATGGATACTGATGATATATGCCAAGAAATAATGAGCCAATCCGTGCCGTGAATGACTCGAATGCACTAACACCTTTAGTCTGCCACGTGGAGAAGACTGCTCGGATGAGCAATTTGACTCAATAGAATAGATTTTTGTTGTTTAGAGGTATGAATCGTGTTATTAGTTCTTGAGGGAAATATGAGGCTATATATACAACATGGAGCCAAGTTGATTGTCTGTATAGACATCTCGGAACTAATTCCGATGGTGCGGCTTGCTTTCTGATCTGCACCAGCCTCATATCACAACACGGTGGATAGAACGAGGAGCCCAGGGTGGTCTGACCCCCAGGAGTAGTACTGGGGGCCTCGGAACTATGTCGCACCATTTTAAGAGGAACTCTTGAAGAAGAAACCGCTGCGAAGAGAGCCCAACTCTCCTTCGAAACGGCGATGTTCCTTTCGAAGGAGAGGATATACGAGCAATATCTGTGTGCGATTACAAGCACGGAATATTGTGGACCCGATGCAAGGGGGGGGAGGGACTCTCCGCAACAATCCCGAATAGAACATATCATTTATCGGGCGACAACCTACGACAAAATTCAACTTACCCATGAATAATCCCAGCGAACAGGGAGCATTTCTTGAGGAGGAAAAAAATTTTGTTGGTTTAAAGTATTGCCTAGTACGTGCGCCTGCTGTTTAACTTGCGCCCGACGTCTTTCTTTAGATCCCGTCACCAGGCATTCGACCGTGCGGAAGGGAACTTGATGGTACCTATCTATTTTAATGTACCCGATAGTTACAATCTGAACAATTTAAGTATATTGAATCACTACATAAGCCAAATTTTCCGTCTCGTATTAGCTCTGTTCGGCTGCTGTTCTTTACCCGTATTCTCGACAGTTAAAAGTTAAAGCCGAGCCCAAAAAGTACGGGTCCGGGTCAATGGTGCCACTTAGCGCGTCTCTCTCAGTTTCAAGGCTCTCAACAAATGCCAACAATATAATGTCGGCGCGGTCCCGGTGACCTCAATTGCGGTCGTTAAATCAGCAATGAACTGTGAAGACACGGGAGGTTTGACATTCTTTGGTGGTGACATTCCGTGAACTCAGCATTATTGTCTTCCGAAAAGGCCTAGCTAGGCATTCGGGAATCAACCAAAGTTTGTAGCGCGGGATCGCTTGACTTGGCGGAAGTCGACTAGTAGAAGCTGTCTCCAGACACTCATGAACTCTGGCATGCCGCAGATCAAATTAACATCATTACAAGACCATCTTGAACGAAACTAGATTCCTCTCATTCAGCAGCTTGACCTCGAAGCCTGTAATCATCGGCTGGCTGATTACCCAGATTTGGAATCATTGTTTCTGGCTCCATAATGGAGCCCGAATCCACACATTCTTGGACAACACCCCTCCTCTGCGTAATGTGAAGAACCCTCCACACATATTTCTCAGCAGAGATGCCAAGCTCATGCTGAACCTTGCGGCCGAAAAGAACCAACGAATAACGGCACCGATTATGACGAACTCCATTGGTGTCTTGCTCTTCCTGCCGCGTGTTCAAATAGTGTCGAGAACCACTCCCATAAATCAAGTCTGAATTTGGGTTGCTCGGCCTCTGCACAAACTCAACCAATCGGTTCAGAATATTGAATTCCAGCTTCAATTTCACACTGTATATGAATCCTTTGACTGCTGTTTGCGACGCGTATCTGCCCGCAAACTCGAGTACCAAGATGCAGATGTCCAGCACTACCACTGTGATGCTAATGAATACAAGATGTAGAAGAAGTCTCTTGCCGGCGTTGTCGTGTATTTCGCTGATGGGTTCCTCGATATGAAGCATTTTGTTTGTCTCATACACGTAGAGACCCGAAATGATGACCTCTTGAACAAAGAATATTGAAACTTGAACTCTTTCGTATACCGCGTATGGTACAGAGAAACGGACGAAGAGAGGAGAGTTAGATCCGTAGCAGAGGATTATAGTCGGAATATGCAGCATGATCGCATCGATGATAATCATGCCTAGAACCAACCAGAGGATGATGTGACTATGCACGATCAAATGAAGACGAGAGTACAGGACCATTGACTGGCCTGTTACCATCATACACCAACCAGCGATTATTAATGTAACGTAAAAATATGAGATAGACTTTGCAAGGTTGAAATCCTTGAGAATGAACCCGATGGAGTAGATAGCAATTCCCCATGTTGCCACGAGGAAGCTCCAGAAATAGAGGCCGTTTCGTCGTTTGAAAGTTAAAAAAAGAGTAAATGTTAGCTCGACTACATTATAGATGGCGACTGACAAGAATGATGAGACGATATAGGTGACTGGAAGGGGGAGCTCAGAATCAAGAGCACTGCCAGTGTCATTGAGGGACATATCACCTAGTGATGACAGGCTGATCTAAGTATTCTCAAGGCTGTTTGACTTCTCGGCGATCACAGTGGTCATTCGAAAAGCTTTTACCTGGGATAATGATGATGCACATTTATAGATTATGTATGGATGGGAAATAAAGTATGGCGTCGATATTGTTTCAGTGTTGGGGAAGGTCTACTCCCGATATATTATTGCTCCTGATGAGTCATGGAAGAAGCTTAACTGGTATGTTCTATGGTCGAGACATGCGCTAACGAATCATAGATTTTAGAGTTGTGATTTGCCACTGAGATTCCCTCATTTGTTTGAACGCGCTTGGACCCTCAGTAACACGCACGAATGAGATAATGAGCTAGTCTGTAATCTCATTTCTCAAACAACTCGACTATTAGCAAGGGTTGCGTGAAAGTGCAATAAACTTAGGTTGCCAATTCAAGAACTATGTTAAAGTGTATGGTAGAATGTATCCTTATCTGTACTCCAGCCGCTCTTCTGTGCGACGTTCTTTCGGTTCGAGCTTTGTCGCGTGCTCTTGAGCGACATTCTGTGCCTGTTATGTTTCTGTAGGTCCTGAGGCGGCTGTTTTGGTGCATCGTGTTTCTAGGTACCGGTCTAGCAAGGGGCCCGGGATAATCACCCAAAATCAACCGGCAAAAGGGATGAGCGGAAAAAGATCGCAGCTTCATTAATTGCTTGTTTCTGAAGAGGTTCCATGGAAGGTTCAACTAGACACTCAAAATAGCTGCATCAAGCTGTCAATTCTTGCTTACTTGTCCTCGCTTGCGTTCGGCTTGACCATGCTAATCGGTGGAAAATTTGTCTTCGTAAATCAGAGTTACTTGCAGCGCTCAGGAATACGATTTTCCTTTCCTTCTTAAAAATTAACCCTTTATGAGTAGCCCATGAGACGATAAATTGATTCCAATGTAGGCAGAAAAAGTGAAACACTTAACAACATCATTGAAAGTAGCCCGGCCGACAAGTCCGCATACCGAATCAGTTTATGCGACGTTGGTCGTCAGAGATTCATCATCGAAACGAGCAATCATCATCGTTGAGAACAAGCTAACTGGGACTGCCTTATGTAGAAGAAATAGCCAGCGTGTATTTTGAAAGGTAGAAATTGGTGTAGAAATTGGTGTTTATGAATGTTGACACGGCGCCTCATTGGTGTTTCGACTTGTGGTGACTGCGTCACGAATGTTGAAGCGACGTTGATGTCGTGGAATATGACCTCAGAATAGATCTTTATCGAGATGAAAATCATGGTGCCACCCACAACAACATACACTCAAGAGTGAAACAGTTCAACAGGCCACACTATGAGGTTCAATTCATTCAGAAACTTGATCACAGCTACCCAAGCGACGTGGTGGTTGCAACTCTATAAAGATGTCCCTGGGCTCAGCACAACGATCATTTCAAAAACACCCCCAGTCAGCCCAGTCTAAGACATAAGCAATTTCTCTTCCGCCTTGCCTGTTTTTGTGCTGATGCGATTCCACATATCAAGTTCGGCCTCTATATATTAATAGAACGAAACACCGAGTGGCACAAATCTGCATCGGAGTTTGACCTTCACCTTAGAATTTCATTCTGATGGTACGGGACCTGATCCCTCCAATTGGTGACTATACTGACGCCTGATACACCACCTCTAGATTGCTGACGCTTGATGGAGGGCTCCATTCATGGCAGGTATGTGCATCGATGCCGGCACTTGACACCACGCTGACTTCATAGCTTCCTAGATAATTGGCCCTATTGCTAGCTTTCTAACGAATCCAATCAATATCTGTGCCTGCTCTCTTTTTGGGAATATTTTTCAGCGGGGAGAATAGGAAATGATACAGAGAGCTCCCCCTCCTCTCTGGTGACAATGTATGACAGATCGCGCCCCAAGCAGCCCCGCATCAAGGTTCAATACTACAACTATCATCGAAAGCTCTCCGAAGGCCGGTTGGTAGGATCTTTTCAGTGAGGCTTCTTGGTCGGTCACCAAAACAAAGAGCGGGTTACCACAGGGGTTCGCAGCACGAACGATAGATCCCCTTGCTTGTACGTCTTGACGGTGATTGAAGCGTGTCGGTTAGTGCGGAAGCTACCGACCCATCGGAAAGCGCGTCAAAGGGTTAGACACCCCTTCTGTGAATTTGCGCCTTGAGGATCTTGCCCTGCCTCACGCGACTTGGGATAAAGAATGAGGGGACGGGACGTGCGCGAACGCGCAGGATGGACGTGGTATTCGCTTGCGACTTTATTAGCTAATCATTTCATTACCGCGCCATGATCCACTAAAAGTCTTGGCGACGGTCCCCAATGGCTGGAAACTTTTCCCCCGAACAGTTGCCTCTTGCTTTCCTTGTTTGCTGTACTAGATCGAATATCTGGGACAGAGGCGGCACCTCGACCTCCTGAACTTGGTCTCAGCGACAACGTATAGCAATTTCACTAACCGCGCCCTTTCCCCGTATGGCACAGTTCATACAAAATCAGTTCCGGGGCGAAGTCTTTGAGACGACGATGCGGTACGGAAGTTTTGCTCCCCAAAAGAAGACGACTGAATCTAATACGGCCTAGGTATTCTTTAATACAGCCTTTGCGAAGTAGTGTCTTCGGGCTTGTCTGGTTGGTCTTCTATCTTTGAACCTCGAAAGCTGAAACTCACCAAGGTATCACTCAAGCTCTGCCGAGGACCGGAAATCTCATCAGCGTGTCACGGTGCAAAAATATTTGGACCCATTTTCAACGGCAAGCAAGACTAGGCATATATTGCGGGAAATTAAATTATTGAGACATATGAAGCATGAAAATGTTCGTGGAGCAAGATTCTATACATTCACCTGAGGATTTCCACTAAAAGAATAGGTTGCCGCTGTCGTCGATATATTTATCTCTCCTTCGCACGATGTGTATGCCACTTCAGAAAATAAACTTGAAAGTCAAAGTCTGACAGTCTCCAGTTACCTTGTTACGGAGCTGATGGAAATCAATCTTCAAACACTTTTGAGAACAAAGCCCATGCAAGGAGAGTTTGTCCAGTACTTCTTGTACCAGATAATGGTTCGTCTGTCAACCACTGCTAATCATTCGTCGCTAATAAGATTCCAGCGTGGACTCAAATATATTCATTCGGCCGGCGTCGTTCATGGTGACCTGCAGCCAAGCAATATTATGGTGAGCCATAACTGTGACCTCAAAATCAAGGGATATGGACAGCCGCGAGTTTACGGTCCTTGGATCACTCGCCATGCCTCTGCCCAACACTATACGGCTCCCGAAGCTATGTTGGAAGGCCAAAAATATGGCAAGCCAGTTGACATTTGGAGTGCAGGTTGTATATTTGCCGAGTTGTTACAGGGAAAGGTTCTTTTCCCTGGCCAAAATGATATTCAACAATTTCATATGATCACGGAGCTGCTAGGTACACCGTCTGAAACTGTCACGAAAAGGATGACCAGTGGAAATGTTTGTCTATGCTTTATATCTTGTTGTGGCCACGAGTGCACGGGATGTTCATTATGGTATAGCAGTATCCTCTAACAAATCTGCGTTATAGGTTATCGATTTCATCCAGACACTTCCGAGCAATGAAGGTCAACCATTGTCGGAAAAACTTCCTGGCATTGGATCAAAAGGTTCGTTTTGATCTATCCAGGGACACCCTCTCCGTTTCTTGTGAACCTAGATGCTAATAATATCAGCCGCTGAACTATTGGAGAATATGCTTGTTTTCGACCCCCAAGGGAGAGCTACTGCGCCCGAAGCTTTGGAATTTGCCTACCTAGCTCTTTATCACGATCCTACAGATGAACCAGAGGCTGAAGACACAGTCGATTGGACATTTGATAACGCCAACCATTCATTTGAATATTGGAAAGCCGAGTTGTATGCCTGGGAGTCTAAATTGATGTTGAACTGAAACGCTGATGATGAAACAGGCATTCCGAGATACTCGATTTTCATAAAGAAGAGGTCTTGAGAGAGGCCGTCCAACGATGGCTTCATGGCTGTGAAACCGGCCCCTAAGTGCTTAATCGTCAACAAGGTGCAACTGATTGACAAGGGGTGGAGAAATTGAATACCGCTATCTTCATCGATAATATGGAACGAATGGCTTCGGGTCCTATAATACAAAGATCTGTCGTACCTTGCCGAGCCGGAGTGCCAAACCATGAGAAATTGTAGTTTTACCGTGTTTCCATAATGTAGATTTGGCTGCGATCAATCGGGTAGTTCGGAAGCCTGAGACTGCGCGGGCTGTGCATACGTGATTCACAGCTATGTCAATTTCTAACCTTTGTAAAATCTAATTGACATGTTATCCTCATATGGGAGAATAGCCACTAGGATATATCTTATATCTAGCGGCCTGTGAGAGACACGACGATAAAGAGAGTTCTTGCAACTGCGATTCTGGTTCACCGGAGGGACTGCCACGGTAGTACATTCATGCTGAAGAACTTTGACGAGTGTCGCGCATGCATTATGGGCTGCAAGGTATAGCAAAGTATTCTCTTCATATAATGCATTTGGAGTGCTTTGTCCACTGTCTAGTAAAATATCTCGGCGATGGCAAGTTTTATCTTTTCCCAGGTTCGGCACAAAGCCGCGGAAAGATCGGCTGGAGTGCGGTATCCACAGACTCGGCTTCCACTGTAGCCAGAATTGGCGCCAGAACCACCGGAGAACCCGTCTCTGCGCTGTCGCAATCGGAGTCAGAAAAGTCAGTACCCTAACTTGCATCTGCCTGTTTTCGAGTTTAAGGAGTTCATGTACATAAGATGTACTCTTTGTGATCAGGTAGACCTCAAAGCTGAATGAACATGGGAAATTTTGCGGTTGGGCTAGTACATAGCCAGTGGCGTATCTATGATTTGACGTTCGTGTGGTGGAGAGATAGAACATCCTTTGATGGCCACTGTTGTACCACCTCCTGTAGCGATAAAGTACAGACCCATTTTGATGAATGCTGAAACGTGTCGTCGGCGCCTCTCTGCAGTATCGCTGCGAGTGTTGAAATGATGCCCACGGCGAGGGAAAGTTTTTGATATACTCCATTATCAAGAAAAGCCCGCAATACCTCCGAATACTGCTTAAAACCATTATCAGGTTTCTCCAGATCATCCAGCTCTGACCTTTACGGGCTATCTTTGGTCGACTGTCTATTTTATTCGAATCACGACAGCCAGCAAAGCTTTCCGTGGACAGGTCCGGATCCTCTGTCTCCGTCTACCAAGGCGGAGGATATTTTTGTGTACTTTTCTGCCTTCTTGCTATCAGAGGAAGTCTACTGGGTGGAATTCCGTCCTTCAAGATTTGACTCGCTCAGCGATGAGTTGATCGGTGAGCACCTCTTTTTCCTGCCACGAATCGAGACAGCGATGGGGAATCTGTCTCGGGTGCGCGAGCAGTTTCTCGACATTATCTCCCAAGTATGCTCTGCAGCGCAGACTGCCCGCTTCCGACTGTCCATGTGGCCCCGCTTGGAGCCCCTCCCCTACACTCAGCACTTCATGATGTCACCGCAGTCTACTCTGCCTACCTTGTCATGCCTCGATCCGCGGGTTTTCGTCAATAACATCCACGGGAATTTTAGATAGACCCGGGAGCTGAACTGGAGATGCAGAATTGGAAATGCATCGAGTCTGTTCAGGCAAGTAGTACGTTACAGAGGCTAGTGCCGAGCTACTCACCTTGCCAAATGAACTCTTTGAATTCTAATATTAATTATGAGGCCAAATAGTGCCGAGAAAGACCGCCACGAACAGATTAGTTGATGAGCTCTATTCTTTAGGACCCTTGTCACTAGGACTCCACATTTGGTGCGTCAATTAAACAAAATGCCATCGTTTCTGTCTCACGGGCCGACTGGACGCCACTTGACCATGTCGACCAACACGAACGAACCCTTTCCTCCAAACTAACTCCCACTAACCACCTCGTGTCCGAGACGGTAGGCGCGCTTCAACTGCCGATAACAGTATGTTGAAAACTTGAAGAAGTTCCTTTAAGCCAATCTACTAACAAAATACTAACCCACGAGGACCCGCTACGATATTGACAACTGAGATGACATATACAGAGAAGACCCATGTAAGGGCTCTAAGGAGATACGGCATGTACCATGACATGTATTGGTGGATCAGTGATAGTTGCCCTTTCGGCTTAGCCGCCGGGCGTTAATGAATTGTGTGTGTGTGTGTTGATAAATTGAAGCTCCGGGTAATTCTTTTGTTCTATTACGATTTACTTTGCTTTATTCTCTAAAATGTGTCCACCGAATAAACCAGCTAAAGGGAACTCGTGGAGGCGTAGCCAGTGGGACAGGTTTTCCGTCAATACCATTCAACCATGAAATTTCATCAAATTGAAGTGCAGAAAGGGTGCTCATAAGTAGAGCAAAGGGCTGATAATCTCTCTATAAGAACGGGGCGGAAATCTTGAGCAATACTCAATGCATTCACCCAGGAAACAGAAACGGAGGAAGAGGTGGAAGCCCACTCCCAGAAACAACTATAGGATCGCCTCATAATCTATGCACCACCACATGGGTGCCAAAGTGTTCCTTGACGAAGTGAGAAACGAGGTGTAACCGAAAGGGCAGTGCAAGACCCCCAATTAATTGGAACTATAGAATCAGAGGGAACTAGGTATATCTGACAGATAGGATAGGGGATACCAGTAAATCCAGGGGAAATGGATCATAATGGGCAACAGATGCTATGACGTCTGCACTGCATAGTATTCGACATGTAAGCTGCATATGCAGCCCAGTTTGCAAGGGATCGGTATGCTGTACAACATAGGTAGTGCTGTGTGTATAATGTGGTACGTTGCACCTCAACACTGTTATCGATTAGTAGATGGAAGCTTTCCCGTAAATGAACAAGCAACTTGTGCCTAAATATGTAGGTACATATAAGGCCTTCAAGGGTCGTATTGCTCGTGTGGTATCAGATTGAGGCGAATTATTTCATGTAGCAAGATGTATCGTCTCTTCTCGATCCTTCTCGGCCCACCGTTTCAGCAGACCATCCCGTATCTTGTTTGCGACCACAAAACCTTTGCAGAAGACCAGGCTGAGCAGATTCAGAATTTCGGATTGTTGATCGACCGTCCGGGCTCGAGCTCCTGCAACAGTTACTGGGAAAAATAGCATCACTCCTGGGATCTTGGAGTGGCGCAACACCTCTCCCGAGAGATACAGGATCGAACTCAGGTGTTCAGAAACTTCAGCAGGGGATAACACCGGGGCTGGGATATTATCCCAGTAGGTGAAATAGTCATAGTTGCCAGAAAGGAAGATTAGTAGCGCGTGATAATATAGCAAAGCTAATTTTGAATATTCATTAGAACCATCCTGGACCAGCTGCAGCAACGCCTTCGTATGCCAGTTATAGATTTTTCCTTGGACATCGAGTCCCTCAGCCGCAATCAGAGCAACTGATGGATCCGTGAAACGTTCTCCTTCAGGAATCTTATCAATTATAGCACCGGCTCTGTCGTTCAAATTGTTAAAATAGAAGAAGTCGCTCATTTGTTATTGCTGACTTACCGTAGGCTGAAGGCGGATGCCTGAATCATGAGCGTTATAATCTCTTCCAAGGGCTCCCAGCGAGTGGCATTTCTCGACAAGCTGTTTTGGAGTCGAAGCCAGCATTCCTGAGAAAGGATTGTTTCTTCATCGAAGAGTAATGCTCGACTGGCTTCGAGAATACGAAACAGGTCGTAGAATATCCTTCTGGCCATTGACATGCAATCACTTGGTCCTGCAAGCTGGAGCATTTTTGATGTTCCATAGAGCATGTGCTTAACCCAGCCTTGGCCCGAATCGTCTGAAAGCAACTAGGTGTATCGATGTCAGTCAAACCCGATTTAATGCATCCGATAGAGGATGCCCTTTCTGATAAAAAGCATACCTCAAACAGCCCTAGAAAAAAGGTGGCCCAGAGAACGTCCTCTCTTTGCATCACATTACTTTTTCCCACACAGCACCGCAAAATACTAATTGACTTATGGTAAGAGGTCATGGCATCCACATAGGGGGGGTTTCTCTCCCCGTAATGCTCGTCCACCGGTATGTCGGTTCGCATCTAAAGCACCAACCGCAATCACTGGATGGTACAGGAGCGGGGAAGTCGAAATTAGAGGAAGCAAGTCCGGAACTATTGATGAGAAGCCCATCGTGAACATGTTCTGCTGAATAAAAGAAACAAAATAATCAAGAAGGCGGGTACCCTTATCCTTCCCGATAAAATCGAGTGGGTGAGTTCCTGAGGTATGTTTATTTTTAACAATCATGCCCTTTTGATCAGAACTTCGGTGGGCGCCACCAAAATCATCTTGCTGTGTTTGGTTGACAAACACAGTCATACCGTGGCCCGATTGCTGCTGGGCAATGCACATCGTGTTTTGCCGAACGCAACGAGCACATGGAAATCCCCCTTCACACTACTAAATATTAGCTGCTCGGATCCCATATAATTTATGCTTCACAATCCAGACCTTGATGCGTCGTTTCGCACAGCTGAGGCAGCGCGTCATCCGCCTTCGCTTGTCCAGCGGGCCGACCATTCTCCCCTGCAACGTTGCAGATGTGGACATGACCTTGGAGAATTCTCTAACAAACACTTCAAGCGTATATTCCCGATGACCACTACGATGAAAATGGACATATTCGAGCGAGACCTGGTCCGGCAGCAGCCTGCGACGTGGCTGATGGCGCTAGCCCAATTAAGAATCAATGTCGCGAGACGAATGGCGCTAACCCAATTGGGAACTAATGTCGCAAGACAAGGATCGACATTACTTGAACATTTACTTGTTTGTCCCCGATGACGGCTACCATGAAAATGGATATATTACAGCGGGCCCTACTCCAACATCAGGCTGCAATTTGGGAGATGGCGCTAACCCCAATTAGAAAGTAATATCGCGACGCACTGATGCACATTGCTTCAACAATTCTGGATAGTTCTTGGTGACTGACTTGGATCTGATCAACTAACGCTCTATCCCTTCCATTTTGGGAACCTCATTTATGTTGGCAGAGGGTAATTTGTATTCGTGAGTTGCTACGGGTGCTTTGCTGATGTATAAAGGTCAGGGCGGTCCTCCCACCATTGTGGTTGGAATCTCATTAAAGATTTCAAAGACTTTACTCTTACCCTACTTTTCTCCTGGACTATGTCTTTTGATGATTGAGAATGCTTCAAATTCTGTGCCTTCTGCCCATTGTGGCCATGTCTGTCTCTGCAGTGGTGATCCCCAACCCACTCGGACAATACGATGTGTTTTACCACACGGCCAAAATGGTCGAAAAGACCAGAGTCGATCCCTTTGATCCCAAGCATGGTCCGCGTGTAGTTATGACTTCAATATTTGCTCCAACCCACTGCAAAGTCACTCTAGAGAAGAAAGACTACCTGCCCCCCGCAACAGCCGAATACTACTCTGAACTATACGGCGCATACGGACTTCCCAACGGTTCGCTTCAATCCATCTCTTTCCAGGCATGCCCAGAGCCGCCACGAGGCCATCACCTCCATTTTCCGGTGGTGATCTTCTCGCCTGCTCTCGGCACGACACGCCTGTTCTACAATGCCATTGCGCAGGCTGTGGCCAGCGCCGGGTACATCGTGGTGTCTCTTGACCATCCCTATGATACCGAGTTTCTGGAGTTCCCAGACGGAAGCATCGTGACTGCAGCAAACATCAGTGACGCGCAGGTTCCACTAGATGTCGAAACCAGAGCTCAGGATGTGAGGTTCGTGCTGGATCAGCTGGGCACAAAGGCTGGCGTCGCAGCCCTACTCCCTGGAACAGGGGCTGCGGGATTGAGAACTCGGCACGTTGCGATGTATGGTCACTCAGTCGGGGGTGCAGCTACCGCCGCAGCCATGCATCTGGACCGTCGGATTGTTGCAGGTGCAAACCTGGACGGGTCAATGTTCGGACCGGTGGTTCAAAAAGGCCTTCAGGGACCATTCCTCCTATTCGGACATGAAAACAAGACCCAGAGGACAGACTCAACGTGGAAAGAGTTTTGGTCAAATCTGCAGGGGTGGAAATTAGAGCTGGAAGTCGCCAAGATTCAACACTACGCATTCTCCGACTTGCCGTTTCTATTGAAGCTCCTGCGTCTGCCTGTTGAGCAGATACCGGCCATTCAAATGATGGTTGGAACTTTAGACGGAGCCAAGGGATTTGAAATTGTTCACCGAAACGTCGCTGCCTTCCTAGGCTTTGGGCTTGGCCAAACCTCGCAGTGTCCGCTTCAAGAGACAATCTCGGAGTATTCGGAGATATCGGTCTTTGCGCGCAGTAAATGAGAAAATACTTGGGACAACAGATTGGATATATGACCAATTAGTGCCGTGAGTGGCCCACCTGCACACAGGCCTTCGGTTGAATGATTGATTAATATTTAATGTGGGGGTCTCACGTATCTGTGGATGAGTAGCGTGTCTTTCGGATGTATAGTCAATATTAAAGAAAGCTACAGTCGACTCTAGATACAAAGGCGGTCCAGAAGTCTGGCTACACACGCTAATTATTTAGCGCGTTTTTCGCGTCCACCCCCCAACCTCTCCTTTTCAAACACCTAATACACCACCAATATGCGTCAATTTGGTACCGAAATAAGTGCTAATCGAAGGCCTGGGGCAGAGCTTTCATCTGAAGCCCGCGCCGCTATCATATTTGCACGTGAATGTGGTGTATCGCCTACTAAAATCGCTTCCGATATAGGCGTTGCGCGGTCTACGATATACAAAACAATTGAACGCTTTCAACAACAACACAACACAAAATCAAGGCCTTGCTCAGGTACCCCTAGGACATTTGACCTCTCAACATTTAAATATACTGTTCTTCTAGCGCGTCGGGAGCCCTGGAAAAGCCTCAGTGAGCTTAGTGCTACGATACCCGGTCATCCATCTCGATCAACAATTAAGCGATTCCTCCGCCATAAAAGTCTTCGGAGATTTAGGGCGCGCCGTTGTATACCTATTTCAGAGGTAGTTGCTCCAAAGCGAAAGAAATTTTGTCGAACTTGGCGCCGTGAGGCCCTTAATTCCCGCCTCGAAGACTTCATCTTTTCTGACGAATGCAGCGTCCAACGTATTCCGAATTTAAACGGCCAATATGTTACACGCCTTGAAGGAGAAGCATATCGGCGGGGACTTGTGCTTGTTAAGCCTCATGTAAAGGACATTAGTCAAATGGTTTGGGCTGGTATCTGGCTTGGGGGGCGTACAAATCTTATGATCATGGAGCGTGACTTTTCAGAGAATCAAAATGGGGGCTATACAACCCAATCATACATTGATGTCTTAGAAAAAGGTTTTATTCAACACTACGAACCTGGAATTATCTTTCAGCAAGATAACGCCAAAATCCATCGTTCATATAGGGCGCAAGAGTGGTTTGAACGTCACGGTATTGAGGTGTTAGATTGGCCTGCACATTCGCCCGATCTAAGCCCTATTGAACCCGTGTGGCGTATGCTCAAACGCAAATTATATGAGCTATACCCTAATCTTTTGAATTGCGGCACCTCTGATGCTGATTGGAAGCTATTCAAAAAGGCGATAATTGAGGCGTGGGATGCCCTAGATCAAAATAAAATTGATAGCTTAATTAGATCGACGTATGCGCGTGTATGCCTCATGTATATCCCTGACATGCGTAGTTGGGACTTTGCGCAGCTCCTGAGGCCCAGACAATCTCTATGCTTGAGCAGGAATCGCCAAAACGAGGGTTGGTCGGGTTTTCAAAGATGCGCCGAAATTGTTCTTTTCGGAGCATTTGTTCTCATGACATTATTCTGTCACCCTGATATGCAATGTCGACGCTTATGCTCTGCCTACCTATGTTTACAGAAGATTAAGAATGTACTGTAAAACGCGACTCACAACACCACTGTGCAATCCTCAATTTTGTACAAGTCTCAATTATTCCCCAACAGAGGAATCCAAGATTTCATGCTCAAGAGCTCCCATCGACGCGAAAACGCTTTCGTGGGGGGGGGCCTGCACGGATTTGCTGTCTGTTTTCGGATTGAAAAAGAGTCTTGGACCTGCTGCAGATAAGCAAGAAAGGCAAGAAAATCGTCAAAGTCCTCCCAGTTTTTATTGGCCCTTGAACGGATTTCCGGGAGCACCCGGTCCCACAGATGCCGCAGACGGTTATGCGTCGCGCCGAAGTTGGGTGGAGCCCAACGGAGTAGCTCCAGCGCGAACGTGCACACAGATTGGTTGACCCTTTGGTAGGTATTAGTGTACTTGAAGTTTCCTGCGCCTTCGGAAGGAATTTGGTCAACGAGGAAAACACAGAATGCGAACCAGGTTGCTGTTCTAAGATGGGCGGCATGCTCGTCCCATTTTCCAAGCAATACACGCGAGAGGTTGTCCCTGCCAATCTTGATTTTGCGAGCTTCGTTGAAGTGGCTTCCGTACTGGTCGAAGTAATCCTGCAATTTAGACATGAAAGTTTTGCATTCCCGCCAGCTGCGTGCCGAGTAGAGCCGCAGGTCCCCAGGAGCCGGCATTTCTGGTGATAGTCGGCATTCGAATTGACTACGCAGCTGTGTAGGCGGTTCTGATGACAAAATTTCTTTGGGTTTCCGTTCAGCTTCATTCATATTCAGTGAGACCAAAATCTCGTCAGTCGAGGCGGTACTATTATTCCGTTTTGCGAGAAATTTCGCTCGGGACGGAGTGGAGTTTTCGACTTCCTGCAGATACATAGCAAAGGAATTGTAATCCGAAAACTGCACGTATGACTTTTGCGCATGAGCACGAATATCGGGGAGAACTCCTCTCAGCAAATAGGCCATAAATTCATTGCTGCTGATGTCCGGAGTGACAGGTGCCCATTGGATTAGCCAGAGAGCAAAATGAGTGACAGGCTGGGCAATTTTCTGGGAGGCGCTTGCAATTCCCTCAAGGGCTTGCCTGTGGTTTGCGTATCGTGAGAGCTGCTGAGCTAGGAATGTACAGTATAACATCCATGATGTGTTTCCAGACGCTATTATGTGATTGTGCCACTTATCCATCAGTACGGGCGAGATGTATTTTGCACCTAGCTCCACTTTGCGAGCCTCGGTGTAGTAGTTGGGGTAACGGGCGAAGTGGGCTTCCATGGTATTAATATAGTGTACGCACTCAGCCCATCTTCTTCCTCGGTAGCTTCCAAATTCAAGAGCTGGCGGAATTGGCGGAGTAGCTATTCGACGCACAGTTGTAGATTGGATGAATGGCCACGGCGCATCGGGTTGGATGCTTGTCCGATGTTGAGGAGGGACTGCGTCTGTTGCTTCCTCGGGTTCGTGCCCGCTTTCAGAGAGAAGCGTCATCTTTTTTTCATTGTTCTCCTTTTCATAAGGCCCTATGTAGAGAGGGTGTTCCAGGGAAGCAGATCCAGGGGCTACGTTGTTGCCCCAGATCGCCGGAGCTGGTGACTCCCGTTTCACTTCCCCGTTGACCATCCGTGCTTGGGTAGGGGCAGAAGTTGCAGCCGCGTGCTCTGATATATGGAACTGGTGAGCTGCCGGAAGATAATCCTCTAGTTGAACCCGCTCATTATTTGCAGGCGTGTGACCATTGGCAGGTGTGTCGTTATCGGCAAACGTTTGATTATTTTCAAGTGCATTGTTATTTCTCGGTGCCATATTCTCGCCGGAAGGGTTCAGGACAGATTTCATGAACGCATCCACAGCGCTGCTGGTGTCTTGGCCGGGGCAACGGAGAACGCTGTCGATTCCGAGATGACAGGTGGATTTGGAACGACAGACGATCTAGGAACCACCGACGATTGGTGACTAACCGAAGCAAAAGCGTCGGGGCCCACAGTTCGTCGAGCGTTGTCGAGGCGTTCTTGCGCTTCTTGCAGCCATTTCCTCTCCTCCGCGATTTGTGCCTGCAGCTCTATGAGCCGTCTGCGCTTCCGCATCCTTTCCAGATTTTTGGAAAACTGGTGGATTTCCTCATCGAGTTCAGAATCCCCATTGTCGTCGTCGCTCATCGTGTAGGTTATTTGGTTCCCGTGGTGGTGTGCTAAATGAGAGTGTCAGGGGTAGAATGACGCAACATGAGTTTTTTACCGCCTATCACACCGCACCGCCTACCGCTGCACTCAAAACACCGCTGTTCTTTGGGTCTCGACTCTCAACAGACGCACGCTCCTATCCGTGCCAGTGCCTCCACCGCTAAGTACAATTCACACCGATAATGCAATATTCTCCATTCCCCATCTTCTTGACGTTGGTCTCATCTACCCAGTATTCCTGGATCGAGCGGAGAATGTAATCGATTAGTAATCGAGGTCTGAAGCGGCCAACCTGGAATAGGGCTGTTGACGATATTGCCGATATACCGATATTGGCGATACGATATCGACAGACGATACGATATCGGCTGCTTTTGAATTTGTCGATGCCGATTGCCGGTACGATATCGGCGGGCTTCAAATTTGACGATATCACCACCCACGATATCGTTATATCGTATCGGCATCGGCACATTTTTCCTTTAAATCATCTAGAGAGCGAGCGTGCTTTGATCGAACAGCCGTTTTATTTGACAATTTATGAATGCAAAACCGGGGCATCGCGACGGCATAATTTTACCAACTCCGACCCTTGACTGCTACCACTTATACCCGTCGCGAATCAACATCAGCATTCTTATGGTATCACCTTTCAAAGAATATCTCCGGATGCCTAGCAGATCCCTCGCTGTGCTAAACACTCTCTCAACAGCAACTTCGGTACATCGTGTTTCTTGGAGACAAGTCTTAGGATCATCGCAAAGGGAAATTCTCTATTCACCGCCTTATTGCCGGCCTGGCAGGCGGTCCGGGATGATCACCCGGAGACGAACCGGCAAAAAGGGATTACGTCAACTCTCGCTTATAGCACGCCCAGAATTATAGCACCAAATTTTCGTGGATGGACCCACTTTTCCAATTTTACCATATAAAATGACCACTTTTATAGCACACTCAGTAATTTTCCAACCATATATGCTTAGTCATACCAACGTGACCAATCATAATGCAACATTCAGTCGCCCTCTCAGCCAAGATGCCCACCACCAGGCGTGCTAGAAAGGGTATATCTGATGCTCAGAAACAGGCTCTACGTATCTATGTATCTGAAACGCACCCTACACCCTCTCAGAGAGCTTGTGTTGAATGGTTTCGGTCTAAATTTGGTCATCTTATTGATCGTGCCACTGTCTCGAGGAAATATCAGCATCTGGATACTAGTCCAGCTGGTCTGAATATGCGCTTATCGACATCGCATTGGCCTAAATTAGACCAAGCTCTCTTTGAATGGCAACAGCGACACCAGGATGCTGGCTTTCCTATAACAGGCCCACTACTTCGGCTTAAAGCGATCGAATATTGGAGGAAAATACCTGAATATACAGGATTTCCAGAGCCTCTTTTCTCTGATGGATGGCTTACTCGATTCAAACAACGTCATTCTCTCCGATATCATACCTTCCATGGTGAATCTTCATCAGTTCCAACCTCGATACATGACGACATAAAACCTATACAGGTGGTCTGTAATCAATATCAACCAGAGGATATCTATAATATGGATGAAACTGGGCTTTATTGGCGTCGTATGCTAAATGGTGGCCTATCAACAAATGGTCATGCTGGTCAAAAGAGAGACAAAGCCCGAATTACTATAGTAGTTACAACAAATGCTACTGGTTCAGATCGAATGCCTCTATGGTTAATTGGTACAGCAAAGACACCACGTGCTCTTCGAGGTGTAAATATTCATGCAATTGGATGTACCTGGCGCTGGAACAAGAAAGCATGGATGCGCAGTGGAATTATGGCAGAATGGCTCTATGCCTTTTATAAGCATATTGGCAAGCAAAGACGTGTCCTACTTCTGCTGGATAATTTCAGCGCACATTCAAGCGCGCTTGAAGATATGCCACCACCGTCAAATATTAAGGTGCTATTTTTACCGGCAAATACAACGTCGGTTTACCAACCACTAGACCAAGGTATTATCCAGAATTTGAAGCATCATTATCGGAAGAAATGGATGTATTGGATGATTAATATCCTTGACCGGAATCTTGATCCTGACAAGAAAATAAGCCTTAATTACACCCTCCGCTGGCTTACCCAGGCCTGGCGAAACAATGTGCTTGATCAGACTATAAAGAACTGCTTTATTAAGAGCACTATTATTGGCCGTGATGTTGATCAGACACATAATATACCAAGGCCAGAAGTGCTTGAATTAATGCCTCTATACCAGAGCTTGATCAATCGGTTTCCTGCAGATATAGGTAGAGATACACATTCAGTCATGTCATTGGATGATTTCCTAAACCCATCTGACGAAAACGACCTCAGTGAGCCTGATTTATCTGATATAATCGCTTATTCATCTGGTGGGGATGATGTTGGTGATGGTGGTAGTGATACTGAACAGGATGACGAATATATATTTGGGCCACCAGTAGAGCTTCCATCTAATGCTGAAGCTATGGATAGCATTCAAAAAGCTCTTCTATGGGCTCAGCATCAAGAGGGCACTACAGAGGAGGATATACGTCAGATAGAGGGGCTGGAACGTCTATTTACTAGGCTACAGGTGGATGGGATGAGACAGAGGACACTGGATGAGATGGGCTTCCTAAACAGGAAGTAATATATGTCGATCACCAGGGGGATATTAGTCATCAGACCACTCCTAGCACAATTTCACTTATAGCACATAATTCTGTTGGATGGAGGGGTGTGCCATAAGCGGGAGTTGACTGTAACGAAAAAAGATCGCAGCACGAGTGCTTGAGTGGTACTTTCGAGATTTGTGATATTTCGGAGGAAGTTTACATGGAAATATTCAACGCGACACTCAAAAATGCCGCATCTGTCCATCATTTCCTGCTTGCTCGCCCTCCATTTGAGGTCGGCCCGACCATGCTAATCGATGGCGAATATATCTCCGGGAACCAGCGTTATTTACAGGGCTCAGGAATAGACTTTTTTTCGGACTGGTAGAAGCTCATGTTTATGAAAGTTGACACGATGCGTTGTTGGTGTTTTGATTTGGTAGCTGCGTCACGAACGTTGAAGCGACGTTGAAATCCTGGAATACGACTTCAGAATAGTTTTTTCATCGAGATGAAAACTGCGGTTCCAATCAAACTAGCATATAATCAATCGTGAAACGGTTCAACGGGCCACGATATGAGGGCCAACTCGGTCGGACCCTCGATCACAGCTGCGCGAGCGACAACGCGCCCGCAGCACTATAAATATGTCCCCCAGACCCCAGCACAACGGTCTCTTCGCAAAAATGTCCCAGTCAGCCCAGCCTAAGACATGAGCAGTTTCTCTTCCCCCTTGGCCGTCTTTTGTACTGGTGCGATTGAACATATCGAGTCTGGCGTATGCCTTGTTCCAGGACGAGATGGCACCCAGTAGCACGGCTCTGCTTCGGACTATGGCCTGCACCTTGGGCCTTCTTTCTGTGGTACGGAGCCTGATCTCTCATACTTGTGATTTAACTGACGCTCACAACACCGCCTCTAGCTTGTCTATGCTTGATGGGGATACGCTCATGGAAGGTATGTACATCAACCCTAGCACTTGATACCATGCTGACGGGAATATTCCTTGAGAATGGTGAAACCACTTTCCCGGAGTCGATTGGGCATGTCGGTCAAAGTCAGTAACCGGCGGTATTGAAATTGATGGTCATCGCGGACCTGCCGCACCAGACGCATGCAACGGAGGGCACAAGGCAGTGGTTGCCCTGACGCGTCACAGCGCGCCACGTACATTGACACGCCCACAATGAAAGAAACATGAGCGGCTACGTCAATAAGCAGGCCATCTCCGTCTTGCATTAAAAACTAGCCATATACCTCTTGAATCGTTAATGGGAAATTGTGACAGCTGAAGCAAACCATCAGCCAGGTGCTTTGCGAGGCTGCTTCGGCTGGCGATTCTGTGGCGTTCGGTGGTAACATCGATGAGGGAGCATCCGATCGGCTCGTGGCCGCATTTGGGAGGAAACAGTCATCTTCATCATATTGACCTGACAACATGGTTAGTTGGCCTCCAAACTATCTTAGTGATGGCAGCGTACTTGCCAGCTTCTTTATCAAGTAGGCCACGGTGGCAGTTATGAATCGCCCTCTGCATTGGACACGGCCAAAGCAATTTGCCGTTGGATACACTCGATCTAGTACCAATTATCAGCCGCTGGCGCAAGATGGGTGTTCGCAACTTACCTTGCTCGCGGCCTAGATGAGATTCCCAATAACAGCCACAATACACTATTCCGATCGAACTTGTGGGAACGACCGAACCAGGGCTGTGTGTCATTGCATATGTCAGCATGATTTCCGGTGAATGAGGGTGGTGCAGACTTGCCGTCAATATAGTCTGGCATCAGCATGGACAAATCAAAGACGAGGTAGCAGGCGTCAGCTCGATTATACGTTCACTAAGGCCCGGGATCACTCCGTACCGCGGGAATGGATGTGGGCCATATCTGCCAATGCATAGCTGTTTCGTATTTACTGTTCGTACGCCAGGCAAATCTTCAACCGTGTCAGGACAAAGTATCACTGTAGGAGAGGTTAATGGTATTTGGTCTAGGGCAAACTTGGAACTGACCTGAAAACGACTGCTCTCACGGTGAGAGATCTGGGGTAGATCCAGTGCTGCAGCCTGGATTGTCGCTTGCTCAGCTACAACCAGGCTTGACAGAGCTGGCCCTCAGCCTGTGGCCAAAAGCTCGATTCGTTGCTGATTGATATTATCCCCGGACAAACTGTGGTCTTTCTCGGTGGTCGTCGATGCTCGGCTTCTCTTCGTTGTCGCTGGATGTTGCAATAGCTCACTCGGCCTAGCATCGGACCGGATCATGCCGTCGTCGAAGCTTCGAATCGGATATGGGACAAGGGGTGCAGGGCCGTCGGGATACGGAAGCTAATATAGTGACAGTTAACTTTGGTCGGACAGGATGAAGCCGGGAGAGATAAAAACATGTTGAAACTCTACCATATGGCTAATCAAAGGGCACTCAGCCTTCCTAGGTTTGTTCCGTCAACGTGGGCGAAATGGACGTTTCAAGCAGGTGTCTTGGAACAGCGAAATAGAAACGCACTGGGATTCATTGGTCCGGCCCGACGTGCACTGCATCCTTAGTTTTGAGGACAATGGGGAAGTACGGCTCGGTCGTGGCGAGTGCCATCTTGAAATTTGTCCGATGACTAGAAAGTAGCATCAGCGATCTTTTCTGATGGGCACAGAGCACGACAAGATAAAACCCCAAGTAAATAACGTCTGCACTGAGATCCAAAATGCAGCCCCGGCTATGGGAATAGGCAGAGGCAACGCACCAGGGTGACTTAAAGGAGATCGAGCGGCTCGTGGTCGAATGTTGCCTTCTTATACGGGGAGTCGTTAGCACAGGACGAATACTCTCCATATTGCCGCTCATAAAAAACTTACGTTGTTGGCTATTGTTGTTCGCTGCATTCTGGCAAGGTCGAAGCGGCTGTGTAAGGGACGACTTCGATCTATCATTAATCATCAGTAGGCAGCTTATGAAGGCAATTCATAACTCACCGTGCGTGCAGCTTCGATCATTTTGAGGTCATCCAAGGTACGCCAAATGGTTTCCTAGAGGGATAGTAGAGGAGGACTGATCTTGAACATATTCCATGTCAACATGATTTCAAATGACGGGGCAGCTACACTCACTTGCTGTTTGAAGACTTCAGCATCGAACAATGAGAGGCTAGTGCGATGCAAAAGGCCAGTTTAATTATAAGTGCATGACTTTGAGGTCAGTCCATACCGAAGTGTTGCTGGCCAAGACGAAAAGCGATCGATATTTCTGACCCAGAGTGACAAAGGAATGCTTGCGAATGACTGTTCTGCTGTTCTGCTGGCAAGAGATCGGGTATTTATAGCATTGCAGCGAGTCATTCTGCTTGTGTCGACGCAACGATCGCTGTGAATTGTGAGGGCACAAACACAGACGACCCTTCAATTGCAGCTGGTTCAACATTTCATCATTGATTTAATGCAGCACTCGGAGGCATTGTATTTTTCTTTCTGGTGATCCAGTTTATAAAAAGCCTTTTCTCACTGTTGGCACTGTTTACACAGTCGTGGGGATGCCACAGAAAAGCATCGATGACGTGTTTAATCATCAACCATTGTGAACCAGTACCTTATTGCGACTGACAGGGTGGCAACAGATCATGCCATTTGATTCCACTCACCGATGATGAGCGCATTCTTTTACTCAAAGAATACCCCATCAAAATTAGAGAAACATCAAGCCATGTTGCGCTGCCTGATCCTATTTTATGCACAAGAAAAGATAGACGTTGTACAACTTACAGTGCGGCGGGCTCCTGATCTGTGCGGCCCCCGTATGTATCACAACAGAGTCCCTTGTTCTCCCGTCTGCTCATGCCAGCTCTCCTTTTCTTACATTTTCAGAAGACCTGGATGTTTGAAAATGACACCAGCACAGCGCCTATGGAATTGCAGCTTGAATCGGTCGTGGCATTGTAATAATCTGAAGTCACATCCCATGGCTCCGTGTCAGGCTTTCGACGGAGATCGAAGTAGGCGGGCTGATCTTATAGGATCGCAGATCTCCACGGCTTGTCCTTGGCTTGGCCCCCTGTATACAATTATCATTTGGTAAATGCAAATTTCGCTCACACGGGAGAGTTATAACCAAGATTTACAGCCAATTCACCTTCCTTCTCCACTTCCAGGCCCTCGCCATTAGGACCAACGGTATGATTAATTCAGCGATGACAATTCGGATTGGCTGATATTTTGGAATTATAACCCAGCTTGATTCAAAGGATGTATATAGAACCCTTCATTGCACATCACGCAACGAACTGATTGTACACTGCCCACATGGTGCAAACGATAAGCTGGACCTTGATATCGTTAGCTCTCCCATCACGTAGGCTCAAAGCTTCGAAAAAATACCTCAAGGGCAATCATCCATAGTCTCGAAATTGCGTCAAGAATAGCAGCCCCTAGCAATAGAAGGCTCACGCTTGATAGATGATGCAGCCTTTTCCGGCCCTGTGTGGCGCCTTTGGTTAACCACAAGTACCATGCGATCTCACAAAGGTGATACAAAAAAAGCAGGAAGGGAGTGATACAGTGAATTTTATGTAGCAGAAATGCCCCCAAAAATGTCACTAATATCTTTGAGATCGCAGAGGCCAAAAAATAAACTCGGAGTGCGATACGTGTTGATCGTTTTGTGAATGGATTTTTGAGCTGCTGAAAACCGATGCGGAGAAACTGAGCCAGTATTAGCTTAGAACTAGCCTTTTTATTAATCTGAGGCGTACAGTTTGTGTGTACGGAATTATTGAAAGAATCCCAAGAAAGATTTGGATCCACATCGATGGCTTCTTGCTCCAGAAAAGCCCTGTCAAAACGGCGGGCAAAAGAAGATAAGACGTACATTACCAAGTCCATCTTAGGAAATGGCCAATCACCTTGGACGACCCACAGAAAGAATAACCTGGTAATCAAAGCAAAGAAGAGTAATGTGAAAAGCATTGGCAGTTCGAAAGCAACGACAAAAGCCATAGATGTGCTACGGTGGTAAGAAGCCGCAGATGGCAAAATTTAGGTTATTAA